GATTTTGCATTATTTATATTTGTTACTGTTGTGTTTCCGATCAATGTACATCCAAACCATTCAAGTATAGTTGATAAAAATACGAATAATTGAGTGGAACCCTAATCAAAGGATATACTTTATGATATTACTATTGCTATGAAAACAACCTGTATGTTCAAATCTATTTTAATACTAAACTTGAATATGTAACTCATATGTAATCAATAGAAATTCAAAGCAGAAAAGAGCGCAATGGATAAGATTCCCAGGCAAAACAATTAAAGATAACCTTTTGGAAAGAGTTATTACACAGAACGACATGAAGCAAGTTTTGTGTTTATTTTAAGGTGTATTTTCAAGTAACTGAACGTGAAACAGGCAATGGGTAATCTGTGACAACATCTGAAAAAATTATCATCTCATGATTGACTGTCAAAACAATTTGAATCATTTTAAAAAGAGACGAGAACCAAATCAGATAACAGTGAACCAAAGTTTTATCGTAAGCATTTAAAAGTGATTTTGTTTTAAAAAAATAGTGTAAAATTTTCTAAATTGAAGGTGGATCTAAACAGATTGAGACAGATTTCAATATAAATATGCAAGTTTAACACGTGCATTTGACGATATTTATAAATGAAAAAAAGAAAATGAGTAACATATCGTCATCAAGTGTGGTATATTGGGCTCTGAATAACTATGGTGTAACTATATTTGATATCATTGTAAATATTATAGTTTTAACTATAGCATCATGGATTATAACATTAAATGTTATAGTATTAAAAGTATTACACGATAAAAATAATAAAGAACCATCTGAATACTTTATTATTAATTTAAGTGTGGCTGATCTCCTAACTGGAGTTTACCTGGTTTATAACACCCTTTATAATCTAGTCAACTTTCAGAATTTGGTTGAATGTTTGATACGATTTGGATTAGGCATGGGATTTAGTATGGTCTCCATTTGGCAGCTTGTAGCGTTATCAATGGATAGATATTTTAAGATCATTTACCCTTACAGGTAAGTTTATGTTGTGATTATCCTATTAAGATCAGATCAGTAGTATATCATTTAATCATACTTTCATAGAAATTCACACAGGCAACTCATTCCTAGAGCCAGTCTACAGATGTGGAGAAATATATGTGCAGACAATTTTATGATTGGAATGAGGACGCTTGCATTTTACTGAAACAATTCAGTTGGCATTTCAACTTCTTACATAACTGTATAACATGGGAATGGTTAACAATTACAACTTGCAACACCAATTATCTAAACAAAAATTAACGCCAAAATTAAAGTTAACCATGTCTTTGATCTACGTTTACATGCCTCAAGCTATGAGGCTATGGATTTCGCTAATTGAATTCAAATGATATATGAAACAGAACTTCATTTGTTATGTCACAAGAACATACACATTTTATACGAAGTGAATTTGTTTTTTTCTTTTTCTGTTTAAGATATGCTGATAGATGTAACAAAGTGTCTATGATAATGGTCAGTGTGATCACATGGTTGTTAACAATGATGATCGGTCTACTCCCAGCATTTGGTTGGCAACATCCACAACCTTCTCAATATACTTGTGGGTTCATGAAGATTTTGACTATTGGTTACTTTCAACTGCTGTTAGTTGTGTATTTAGGACCCTTCTTCGTGTTGTTAATCATATATTTACGGATTTTTAAAGAAGCTCATCGACATGCTGTGGTCATTAATTCAACTGCACCTAAAGCCCAAACAAACAACACTAATCATTCTTTAAAAACTGTATTCATAGTGGTGGGAACATATATCTTGTGTTGGGCTCCAATGGGTAAGTCTACAGTATCTCTTTTGAAAATCATTTATTAAGATATAGAGAACATTTTGGATTTTAACTCACCACATAGGCCGATCGGGAAATAAACACGTTAGGTTAATTATGCCTTCCTATAATTCCACTATTTACGAGACATTTTTCATCGTGAATGTATATATAATTTAATATAAATGAATCAATGTATTCAACTCCATTCGAGAAGTTATGTTATTGGGTCAAATAATTCCTTGTTTCGATTTTGCAGGTATAGTTGTTATTCTACATGTCGAGGACGCATTAGAAGGATATACTTTGCTTGAAAAGGGTAATCTCATAGTATATGCAACGGCATTTGCTTATACCAATAGTCTTTTGAATCCTATCATATACGCAATTAAAATACCAAGAATTAGAAATAGATTCAGAGGTATATTTTGTCGACCTAGACGACAGTCAAGAGCACCATCGAATAGTGCACCAACAGACATAATAACTGTAACACCAATAGACTAATTAATTAAAATTATTTTATTCTCATCCAAATACTAATACTTCAAAAGATATTCGACCAAAACTAGAGCCATGTTGAGAATGTACGTTACATCCTTTGATGGTATGGTTTCCTTTATGCAGAACTTTGCCTGCGTTGGTTGTGTCAATAAACGGGTTCAACTGATATAAAAGGGTAGTTGGAATAGCCTCTAGGCAATGTCCAAAATGCTAATGTGTGGCGTTGCTAATTTTGATAATTCAAGGGAAAGTACTCTATTTGTAATAAACTACACAATAGTACAGATCAAAAACATTATAGGAATTCAATATCGTGAACTCTGTTGTTTGTTCATCGTGATATATCAAGGTATAAAATATTGTTTAATTTTGTCTCATTGTCATGGTTGCTGCTTAATTGCCAATTAGGTATCATTTATTTTGCACTTTCTTAAATTCGCAGACAGTTTGTAAATTAAATAAGCTATGGATATGAAAAGTTCTGATGAATATGTTTACAGGACAAATCTAAGTTCACGAAAAAAGTGATTATTAATTACGTGTTATCGCCTACGTGTCAAACATTGTCAGGAAAAGCAACAAAAAAGAAGGCGTGGTGTACCATCAAGTACACTGCCGGAACATGTTATATGAAGACGTTGCCCATGTCCATCTGTCTTACAGTTGAAATTTACTCGTAAACGCTACAGTTTTGGTTTGTCGTTTACATCAGTTTTAAATGAAGTTCAAGTGAATTTGAGTGACTCCGAATATCCAGAGATATTAACCCCATTAGTCAGGCATAATGAAATTGCTACATCTCATTCAGTTTTACATGTACCTTTTTTCGTAGGTAGGTATATAATCGAGAAAAGAAGTTGAAGTTTACAACATTTTCAAATTTGAACTCCCTTGTTAATCCCAAACCTCTCGATTGCTCCAATCGATTTTCATTAAACGTTTGTGACCAAATATCAAGTGAGCGAGTTAGAATTCACCAACATTATGCCGAAGTGGGCGTGGGCTATCTTTTCATTCTTTTCTTCGGGTTTTAGTTGAAAGGTTCGGATTAGAAGATATATTTTACTTGATAAATAAGACAATTTATGGATAATTAATAATTATATTCCTGATGACGGTGTGAGAACCACATTGAAACGTTGAAGTAATAAATATTCTAGAAGTATCTATCCATAAATTGTATTATTTATCTATAACCTGTGCTTCTAATATGCTTTTGAAAGATTATATTTTAATTGGTTAACAAGATATCAATCTTTTCAATAAATATAAAACATATAATCACCAAGAAACTTCCTTGGTCCCTAGGGGTAAACAAAAGCCTATAAACATTGAGTAAACTTGTTCAGAAGATGTTATGTTTATATACAAAAGCCCTGTAACTATAAGAAATTGCACAAAGAAAAAATCAATTACAAGTTCTAACAATTAGTCCAAGAAAAAGAATGAAGTTTTTAATGGAAATTTGCTCGAATGTAAATGTCGCATTATAATTTTTTTTTATCCTATTGTAATTCTGTCTTTTACATAAACTTTATTTAATAACCAGTGAATTTTACAAGAGAAAGAGGTGTTTAAAGGGATATGACCTTGTAATATTTCCATGCAACACGATGACACGAATTAAGATAGTATTAGCATAAATGAAAGGATTGTTGTCGTTAAATGAACTAACTTCCTGCCTTTGTGTGAGTATCGGGGATACTTACAACTTCTATATTATCTAACTTCAAATTTCATTTCCGACTCGCGATCCAGACAGACTTGGTCAGGTTCTGAGGTCTCTATTACAATTGATTTACAAATTTTATTTCGATTTCCAATCCCCTTTTTGTACTATCCTCTATGGAGACGAAATCGAGTAAATCATGTCATTTTTCTAGGCCAATATTAGAGAACTTCATCCTTTAACGCAACAAGAACTAAAGTAGCACTTCAACGTAATGTTATAATTCTTTTCCGCGCCTAACAATGAGCTCTATCAGGCATAAATGTTCCATTCTATTCCTTCCTTTTAATTTTTAATGCAGGCAATCACATTAAAAGATCAACAAGGAAATATGAGCGATCAGAACTATTTGCGTGGATGAATTGTTTTTTAATTGACTAGGGTTTTGTTCGATTACTGTATAAGAATCAGATGTCCACGGATTGCAATTTGCAATATACATATGTGCGATGTGACCAAATGTCAATTCCTGAGTTTGACGATTATGATAAATTTAGACGGGCATTTTGTAAGTGTACATAATAGACTTGATTTGAAAATATATTAGTGTAGTTCGGTCTCTAACAAAAAGGGGCGACGATATTCATTTACATTGTATTGAATATTAAATATGAAAGTAATTACTGTATAATCTGTTGTTAATGTTACACACTATGTTAAGTGAGGCAAGTCTTCAATATATTAATAATTGCGAAATTGTCGAAGTCTAGGAAGTAGTCCGATTTTTTTTTATACAAAACATGTTGGATATTTTACTAAAACAAACAACAACTCATTGTGCGCTCATCTCCAAGAAATACAGAAGCAGGTTAAATTAGCAGTTTTAGTTACTGCAAGACCGTTGATTATCGGTAAAGACAGTGCACACCCTGGATTAATGCGTAACTGCTGAATATGAAATACTGTATGTGTTTAGTGGACGATTTTGCAAATCGATTATGCAAATGAAATAAAAAAGAGTGCAGATACACAGAATGGCAGATTTATTTCCGACATACACATTTTCAATGTCCATTATTCTTAGAACGCGACTTTGACAGCAAGGGAAGATACCTATTTTAGGCCAGTGTCATTCCTTAATTTAATCGACAGTTACAGTTTTTTTAAAGGTTGTGTTTAGTCAGAATTGGTCAATTATTTTAATTCTCCATCAGGTGAATTTCAACATGCGTGAAGACACTTATTCAGTGTCAAGTTGTGATTTTATTGTAAGTGGTGATTCCTTTTAAAATGTTTGTGTTTAGTCAGAAATGTGTACTTTAGTTTTAACAATTATTAATGTCTAACAGTACAAAATGAGTAACATATCGTCATCAAGTGTGGTATATTGGGCTCTGAATAACTATGGTGTAACTATATTTGATATCATTGTAAATATTATAGTTTTAACTATAGCATCATGGATTATAACATTAAATGTTATAGTATTAAAAGTTTTATATGATAAAGAAAATAAAGATCCATCGGAATATTTTATCATTAATTTGGCCAGTGCAGATTTATTAACTGGGCTGTACCTAATACATAATACGGTGTACAACTTCTCCAATTTTCAGAATCTGACTGAATGTTTGTTACGTTTTGGATTTGGAATGAGTGTTACGATATCTTCTGTATTCCAGTTAGTAGCCTTATCAATGGATAGGTATTTCAAAATCATGAAACCGTTCCGGTAAGCGATTTTTTTAATCCCCGTAATTATAAAAAAATGCATTTTCTGCACCTTCGAATGAGTCAAGAAATGATTTGCATGACACTGATATCGATATGTTCGTGTAACGGTGCACAGATCGGCAGTGAACACAAACCCAAGCTTCTATTAAATTTCTCTTGAATTCAACATACTTTGAGAATGAACATATTTATATGGTCATGTAAAATAGGCTTCATCTTCAACTTCCAACAGTAATGATGACTCTGAAGAGAGGTTTGGTCAAAGCGATGCTTGTTTAAGTTTCTTCGATTACGACCAAATTAGAATTATCCAAAGTCCACGTTCATATAGACTAGTCTTTCTTGAGACCACTTCTCCATTCTTCAGTAATCAGCTTATTGAATAATTCTTTTGGTGATTGTATTTTACAATTTCTCGTCATAGACAGTTCAATGATTTCAATAGAGTAGCAATTCCCTTGGGATGTAATTAATCTATTGTAATAAATTTTTACTCATAGGCTAAGATCTCAAAAAGGAAGCCGGTAAGATTGTTGGTTAGAAATACTTTTGTCCCTTTGAAATTGCCTTTATTCACAAATTCGCTTCCACGCCCAATATCATGACACTCTTTGATGCGCCTCACTATTGTTGTTATGGAAACCACTTAGGGACAAAGGTTTTTTTTAAAATAGTTTTGAAATGATGAAGGGACACCTTTCAATCTGCTGTTCTACGAAAATTCAAAAGTCGACCATACTCAGTTATAAAATTATGACACATCCTATTAACGTAAATATGTATTACAATGAATGATTGGGTGATTATATTCTGATTAAATTCATGGCTCTCAATTGTAAAGCAGTTTCCTCTTAATTTTTTAGGTATGGAAGTATCTGTAATAGAGGAGTCACAATTACAGTTACCATAATAAGTTGGAGTCTGGCCGTAATAATTGGACTACTACCAGTTTGTGGCTGGCAGCAACCTTTGGACAATCATAATTTCTGTGGTCTAATGAAGATCATAACGATCGGATACTTTGATCTTTTAGTGGTAGTCTTTTTGGTGCCTTTTTTTCTCCTGCTCGTTACTTATATAAGGATTTTTAAAGAAGCTCGACGCCATGCTACATCAATAAGTTGCTCGTATCCGGGCAGCGAATCCAAAACAACGAGACATTCCCTGAAATTCACAAAAACTGTTTTCATTGTAGTGGGTACTTATTTCATCTGCTGGGTACCAATGGGTAAGTGATGTGGTTATAAAATTTTGATCACTTTGTGACAATAAGACCTGAAAGCTGTAATTCCTGTCGTAGTCCCCAGTGTTTTTTTTTTTATTGGACGTTTGAATGTGAAATAAGATGAACATGTACCTACAATTACTTAAGGGGATATAAATACAGGGTGCCCGAATTTTTAACCTAGTTATTAGAGTCGTACCCTTGCATTCGGGGCACCGAGGGGGCCGTTGCCCCCTCTGAACCGCACACCTCCCTTTTGGTTCCACCAATGTGTCATACTTTTAACAGCATAATGTAAGTCAATGTAGTGGTTCGGCTTAAATGAGAAGCATCTAAAGCCATGAACATACATAAAGATATGGTATAATTCGTTAGTCGACTCCACACATGCAGCCAGAATCAAGTCAACGAAAACAAATTACACAAATGGATTTTTAATGCAATAAATTTGATTATTTTATTAACATTTGCCCTGCCATGCTTTGGATCGCTCGAATCATGACTATGCTATTTAGTATTTTGATACGGAGACAGCTATTTTCAGCTATGTTTGGTGATAGTATTGTGTTGATAGTATAGCTGAAGACTGTTATTTAAAGTCAGACTCTACAGATCCTTAGACTAGGTAGCGTTAATTGGAGAAGGAGTTCTCCATCTTTATTACATCGTTCATGACACTGCTCATAAATGAATTAAAGTGTTTAGCATGTTTGATATGTTGAGTCCGTGGCATTGAGCTGACTTTTGCTAAAAATAGAATAAGAGTAGTCCTTTGGTTAGTTGCTGTATATATATTTCCAAGATTTTTTTTTTCTTTTGAATTTTTTTTATTGGACGTTTGAATGTGAAAGAAGATGAACATGTACGTAGAAATACTTAAGGGGATATAAATAGAAACTACTTCGCTCAGAATGACCACTACACAGTCCAATGGTTTGAAATATAAAAATAATGGGAATGGATATATCCATGCCATTGATCCCATTAGGCACAAACTCCTACCATAATTGTAGAATGATTCCATCTTGTTTGTCAATTAACAAGTTTGATCTTATTATGCTTTGTGTTTTGGTTGGCTCATTAGACACAATCAAAATCTTGGAACCTTTAATGATGTATACATGTTTACAAGATAAAAAAAATGATGTATACATATTTACGTTAATAGGGTGTGTCATAATTGAATACAACTTTCAACATCATATACCTTGAAATCGTTGTGCTTCGCTTGAACTTTTTTCCGTAAATTTTGTTGTTTGAAAATCCAAGGAGAATCCAAGACCCATAAACAAATGACTAGTCATTTTGGAAACGAATATCTTTATGATATTAAATGTATACAAATGGCCCATTTTCTTCTTTGTTTCAGGTACAGTTGTGGTACTTCATGTGAGAGGTCAATTAAACCATTTGTCATATATTGAAAAGGGAAATTTACTCGTCTATGCTAGCGCCTTGGCCTTTATCAATAGTCTATTAAATCCCATTATCTATGCTTTTAAAATGCCTCTAATCAAAAGACGGTTTAGACAGGTATTTTGTCGTAAAAGGGTACATACTGAAGATGTAACAATGTACGCTGAATGTGATGGCAATGTTATATCGGGAAAGAATAGAGTTTCTAGTGTGACAGAGTACTAGTCACTTATGGAGATGATAATGCTTTGTTGAGAAAGAATAATGTTTCTTGTCTGTCCGAATACTGGTAATTATGGGCATGGTAATGCTATAGGAAACGACCAAACTCAAAATACTAGTAACCACAGTGATACTAATGCTATAGTAAATGACCTGAATTCGAGAGTATAAAAGTACTAGTAACCATGGTGATAATATTGCTATATCGAGAAAAAATAGAGTTTCTTGTGAGACAGAATATTAGTTACTATGGAGATGATAATGCCTTGTTGGGAAAGAATAATATTTCTTGTCTGTCCGAATACTGGAAAACTATGGTGATTATGATAAGAAAACGACTACACTTCTATAATCAAAATGTAAGTACCGATTGTGATTCTAATGCTTTAATAAACGACATAAATTCGAGTATGTAAGAGTTCTAGTAATCATGGTGATAATAATGCTACACTGGGAAAGAATAGAAGTTCCAGTGGTTCCGAATACTGGTAACTATAATGATAATGATTCTTCGGATTGTGAATTTCTTGTGTGTATACTGGTAACTATGGTGATGATAATGCTATAGGATACGATCAAACTTTGAGTAGTAATCATATAGGGATGATATTGCTTCAGGAAACCCAAAGAATTCGAGACATTTGGATCCGTGCTCCTTGTAACGCGTTCGCCCCTACATTTTCGTCCTATTTCATGTTCGTCTTCGGTTCTTTTGCTCTGATGCATGTTCGGGTTTGGAAGAGTTCGGGTAACCATGGTGATACGCTAAATACTTAAATACTTGTGTATCAAAATACAACAAAAAAACAAACATTGTAATAAGAATGCTAAGGGAAACGGCCCCAATTTCAATGTGTCAGATCACTGGTAACCATGGTAATGATAATGACAACTCAAATAGTGGATCAAAATCCTAAAAACATATAGATGTCATAAGACTCATTAGTAACCATTGAAACTACTCACAATGGCTTATTTCTATGATATCAAGTAATATGCTAGTAATAATGGCTTTTAGTTTGCTATATAATGAGAAAACGGTAAATATTGTGATGATACTATCATGAAATAGATTTCACATTCTAAATGATTAGTTGCTTTAAGTAAAGCTTAATCCACCTACACCAGATAGCAGAAGTCATCAAAATATCAAATCAGTGGAATAGTATATTATATCATACCAGTGGCGGAGCCAGGTAGACGTCCCAGAGGGTTGGTGCGTGTGTTGGGGGGAGGTGGGGGGGCGATATCTGAGGTTGCCCGAATTTTTAACCTAGTTATTAGAGTCATGACTTGCATTCGCGGCTGCGAGGGGGGGGGGGGCGGTTGGACCCCCCTGAACCGCACACCTCCCATTTGGTTCGACCAATGTATCATACTTTTAACAGCACAATGTAAGTCAATGTAGTGGTTCGGCTAATCAAATGAGAAGCCTCTAAAGCCATGAACATACATAAAGATATGGTATAATAGGTTAGTCGACTCCACACATGCAGCCAGAATCAAGTCAACGAAAAACAAATTACACAAATGGATTTTTAATGAAATAAATTTGATTATTTTATTAACATTTGCCCTGCCATGCTCTGGATCGCTCGAATCACGACTATGCTATTTAGTATTTTTTCTTCAGTGATAGTATTGTGTTGATAGTATCATGAAAGCTGAAGACTGTTATTTAAAGTCAGACTCTACAGATCCTTAGACTAGGTAGCATTAATTGGAGAGAGATTTCTCCATCTTTATTACATCGTTCATGACACTGCTCATAAATGAATTAAAGTGTTTATCATGTTTGATATGTTGAGTCCGTGGCATTGAGCTGACTTTTGCTAAAAATAGAATAAGAGTAGTCCTTTGGTTAGTTGCTATATATATATTTCCAAGATTTGTTTTCTTTTGAAATCAAGTCCGCAAACCCATTGACCTAAAATCGCCAATTGTTTGGACTATTTTGTGATTTCGTCAAGTTTCGTGCCTGTTTTTTGTAGGTGAATTGTTATTATGTAATAAAACATATGATATAACATAATATATTGTGAGCAAGTTTATTTTACGTACTTCAGAGCTTCTTAATTCTAGCAAGATCGACAAAATCAGTGACATATTATTGTAGTCATTGGTGGCCCATTGCTGACGCTTTGGACACGACATTTCCTTTCATTTCCTTACGCTTGTGGATGGATGCATCTAGTGCAAACCTGGAAACTGATCCCCATTTATCATTTCACAGATATACTGTTTTTATAAATTGTCATTAGTTTTATCGTTAGTGTACATATTTTATAAGATCGACTAAACAATACATGTATAAGTTAACATGGCGTAAAACAATGAAAAATGAAATGCGAGACAATCATTTGATCGATATTGGTTCTGTTCAGACACTATCAATAACATTTGGACGTGAAACACATACTAATATTACGTTTAAACAAATACTGATGGAAGGCAATTGTTCTCCCAAAGATAAGTTCACTATTGTCATAGTCTGACGAAAGGGGGAATATATCTGGGCATTAGCATACACTTTTTCGATTTCCAACTCTCGAGGGATCTTGAACTTACACAGCCTGTCCTGTAGCAAACATGGCCTAGATTTTATTGTCCCATCCGAACACCTAGACGCCTCTTAGTTATAATTTTGCAAAACTGTAAAGTTAAATAGAATAGATGTTAATAAATTCAGTTGTGTTATCTTCGGACTCTATACTAAGGAGTGCATCTATACAGGAGAAATCGAGTTGTGATAAGGGAACTCAAAGTTTAACGTCTTACTATATCAGTAATATATTATGTACCATTGGCAAGCATGACGAAGGGTTTTCTTTCCCTTATAATCGCATTCGGTAAAACGAATATTACCTTTTACGTAAGGAAGTAGTCTGCAATTTTGCTGAATCGGAATAAGGTTTGCACATTAAAAACCATAATCTGGGCTAATGATTATATGTGTATCTTTACACACACATTAAACCAGACACAACAGCCTTGACCCCCGAATCATATCGTCTTGCAATTTTTATGTGTATGTTATATTATCTTTTATCTTTTAAGTTTATCGGAATATCCACTTCATCTTTGTCAATAACTTTATGACTAAAATGTAAAGTTATACTGATTCGACACGGGGTCGATGACTTTTAGGCACTGTTGCAGTTTCGACCCTTTTCCATTCCCGTTGAGCTATCGATTTGAAACTTGGCAGAAGGGTACTTATGTCCTGAATATTCACAGCAAATTTCAGACAGTTCCAACGCTTCCTTCCATCTTAAATTAATTTTCAAAGTGATGTACTGACGGAAATTTATCGATATCAATACGAAACGTGACAATATGACTTAGTAATGTGCCTTGATTACTTGTTTACACATTACTAAGTCATATTGCCACGTTTCGTATCGATATCGCTTTTGGGGATGATTGGGGTGCGATGCAATTGGGGCATAGTGGCATAACTTTGGCGATTGATTTAACATAGTATGGGGTGTCTGATTGTTCTGCAAATTGCTGTGAGTAATCAAGACACATTACTAAGTCATATTGCCACGTTTCGTGTCGATATCGCGATCGGAGGTGATCGGGGTGCGATACAGCAACAGGGGCATAGTGGCATGACTTTTGCGATTGATTTAGCATAGTATGGAGTGTCTAATAGATCTGAAAATTGCTGCGAGTAATCAACACACATTACTAAGTCATATTGCCATGTTTCGTTGTGCTTGTACTCAAGTATTCTGGTAATATCAAGTTGGCGAGGTAGACGTGAAGGGTGAAGGTTTAACAATTATCCAAGGAATAGTAGCTTCTGAGTCTCAATATAGGCTTCCATGGAGAACCATTAAAGTAGACCAAGGCATTTATCTGATTAACATCCAGTTCTAGATTACGCTTGCATATAAACCTCTGTGCTCTCTCAAGAGATATTGGCTTTTCTACCGAAAAATTGAACCATAGCTGACATCGAGAGCGATTTCGGTAATATACATGTTTTAATTAGCTTACAGGTTGTTAAAGGATTTAACTCTTGCGAAAGTTGAAGTATGGTTGAAAATGACCTGAGGGGTCTACAAGAAGCCGCTGTTCTTTCAGATGAGTCACAGGATGTGTTAAGTAAAGCATGCTTTCTTGATTCATGTGCGGTAAGACATTGTCAAATAGTGAAACATTCGGAACTATGTTGTTGGATCGTCTTTTATGACAAAATGGAGAACCACACTTTTGACTGCCGAGAAGAAGAATCGCCATTTGTGCCGTATACTTGACACTGGTTAATTAGATCTTGTAAACCAGATATACTGTAGCTCGGTACGGCAATGTCGTTTGACAATATCGTCAGCTTGGGTTGGACAGATGCCGTTCAGACCAAGTACTAACTTGACAAATACCTCTTTCTAGTAAGAAGTTTCGTGAATAGGATCCACCTAATCGGATGCAGCTTGTCATCGAATTAACAATGTTCCAATCTGGTTCAGCTTAAGTAGCAGTCCATCGTGCCAGACAGTGTCGAAAGCCTTGGTGATATCGAGAACAGCGACGTGTAGATCGCTAGAGCGTTCTAAGAAGTGACTGATAGACTCTTGGACTACAATATACATAAATTACCACTACACAATTAGATTTAATTTGTATCTTTACAATCGATTGCTAAAACTGTTAATGAGATGGAAAGTCATTCTGCAAGTTTTAAAACTAGATTCCCACAAGGACTCAGCTCTAAATACTAATTGCCAAAAATTTTCTGTTTTTAACGTGAATAACGTCATAGAATGAAACATTTCATAAAAAAATATAATCTTTCAAAAGTCAGTCACTGTTTTAAGCTGGAAGTACTGTAAAAAATTGTTTTATCATCAGCAGATCAACAGTTTCAGATAGTGATATTGCACTATAACCATGAGCTAAACATCATCATTTCAAACAGGGCCCATTTTAACATATTCACATTGATATTGGCATATAGTTTTCATAATAAGCCAGTGAACTTCATAATCGTGGTCCAATTTAATATTTACTTTGAAATACTATCTGCCCATTCAAATTATTTCAAACTTAGCGCAGTATTAAATAAGGTTTTGAAAGACGTTCGAGGTAAGTTGTATTTTTATATAAGCATCAATAGCATAGAAGCTTACTATAGCACAAAATATGACAATTATTACCGAATACTTATTTTTAAAGAAATGGCATATTTAAAGTAAGATCCACAACGTAAAAAGATGTCTTCACATTTTCAAAAACCAATGTTACATCTAATTTCCCTCTAAATTAAGTTTTTAAATTTTATTCAAGCCGTTCAGAATATAACAAACTGTTAGAAGGTTTGTTCAAATAATCTTTATGGTGCCCCTTTAAAAATAAGATAGTAAAGGACCTGTTAATGTCGATATCTGTTATGGTAATTGTGACCTTTATCACGTTATCTTTTGTTTCAGTTACAAAACATCAGCGTATTTCCACTGTTATATATATTTTATCTTGAACATTCAAAATGAAATTAGCAAACGCTTTTGCATTTTTAACTGGTGGTGCTATGGGAGTTGGTGAAGGGATTGCTGAGGCTTTACTGAAAAATGGAGCCAAGGTGAGAATTTGTAGATTCATGAAAAGACAAAATCAGAGATAAAGGTCGTATGTAGGGCGATTAGGAGTAAAGACATCGTATGCAATACATTTCACGCAATTTCGAGTACCTTTGTGTAAACTTTAATGTTTTCAGTACGCAATGTGTGTGTGTTAAAAAGACAAACTATGATAGCGAATGCACTATATTTTCTGTACCATGTTTAATTAGTCAGATCGTATTTCTGAGGGAGACGCTCACTATGTTTTTATTGAATTAGATGACCTCTTCAGTAATTATTTAGTTTGTGGAGCTGACAACAAGTAACAATTCATGACTTAGGCTGACGATTGGTAGTCTTGTAAGATTGATAGTCTTGGATGTTAAAATTTTACTAAATCTGGGACAGTCAGGTGGTAGAAGGACAACTGTGCCCCCCCCCCCTCCCCCCTTCCCCCTACCCAAGACATGTATAAGTGAATAATACCTATCAAAGGTAAATTTGCTATGTTATTATTGGTAGGTATGTATAGGTGATGTTAATAAAGAACAAGGGAAGAAAGTAGAGTCCAGGCTTCAAACAACCTATGGTCAGGATAAAGTAAAATTTATTTATTGTGATGTTACGAAAGAAGACGTCTTTATAGGTATAGCTATTGAATAATAACTATTGTATATGGTATGTTTTAAACAAAAGGCACATATTCGAGCAGAAAATGCTACACATCCACGTTATGATGCACCGGGAAATGTCGTACTGAAATCTACTCAAAACTGAGAAATCTTCAAGAACAGCTGCAGGTGTAATAATGATTAATGACACTATTGCTGTAACGATTTTTATTCTTAAACCTTGAAATACTGCTGGTCAGATCTCTTTCGGAATTAGGTTCAAAATTTATTTTCAGGGGCATTTAAAGAAGCTGTTGAGACATTTGGCCCTATAGATATTATGATTAACAACGCAGGAATGATACACGAGAAGAAATGGCAATATATGATGGACGTTAATGTGGTAAATATTCCAAGACAGTCATAAATTCCCTCCATTTTAATCCCTGCTCGTGGGATTTGGTTCAAACATTCATGTATGGTGAGTTAGAGAATTGAAGAAAAAATAACCTAACCCTGATGCAAGACCTTAACGTTCGATGATTCTCATAACCTGTATTATTTCTTCTTTCTAAAGGGAGGTGTAGTGGTTGGAACAAATCTTGCGGTAGAACATATGAGGAAAGATAAGGGTGGTAAAGGTGGAGTAATCATCAACACTGCTTCGTTTGCTGGTGAGAACATGTAGTATTTTCAAAAATGGGACCAAAATTGATTATTCATTCTTCTGACACAATAAGTTATTTAATCCAGAAATTATTCATCACTCAGCAAATTATAATTTGGTATAAACTTTTAATTTAGATGGCTTCAACTCCCATGATTTATACACACATCTTTGACAATCGTTTCTGGCGTCAATTAAGAAAATATCTAAGCTCTTAAAGTCATTGAAAAGGAAAATCTTTAAAAATTAATTTTTTGCAAATTAATTTTGCAGGTCTTGATGCTCGTTTTGTGTTCCCGATCTATGCTTCCTCGAAAGCGGCAGTGGTGCATTTTACTTCCAGTTGGGCGGTAAGTAGTATCCAGCATTCATGCAACTTTTTAGTTCTCAGAGATCCGAACCAACAGTAGCCTGTGCAGTAGTATTGTTACAGTGTGTGATGTTTTGTGAAGATAAGGAGAGCAACCAAAAGTCCCGTAGAACCCAATATGCATGCTCTTCCCTCTTAGTCTGAGCCGATGTCAGCATCTTGGTGTGTTGTTACACAAATGATTACTTAGGAGATTGCCCTTGTAATTGCTATTTGCATAGTTATGTTTGTTATGTTGAAGAAGACTGATGTTTGTTTATCTTAAATTTTGTTTTTATCCAATAATGATGTATTGATTGGGTATTCTACATGATGTTATTGTTAACAAATTAACTGCTTAATGTATTTTAAAATTAAAAAGAAAAATACACGCAATTATAGTTTACTCATGCTGTCCATTGGTCCTTCCCTTCCCTTTCACACCAGGATAAGATAAAAAGATAATACCATAATAACGGCAGTTATGTACGCTATGTTTTTTAAATGTAACCTTTAACCCCGGAAAACCTAATACGACGCCTGATTAGATATCACATGTTTGTTTTTGCTCCAGTATCTGCGCTCATTGGGGGTTTAGGTATGTTCTGGTGCGTGTTTTGTATCAGTGCGATGATGCGCCCTAAACGCAGTGGAATTTCGTCTGCCGCAAGTGCGTTTTGACTTTTAGGAAACGTGTAGAAGCTGCAGGAGTCCAGACCTGGACGGCATACGGAAACTGTGTATTCACAATATGAATACCTAATAAATAAATAATTTGAATAACGTGGTTATTTCATCCAGATTAGTGTATTGATTACGATTTCATATCGTTAATAAAATACTCTAACATTATTTTAATATATTGATTGTAATATTGGATTAACATTCAATTTTTTCTCGTTATGTACGCCATTCTTCATTTAATGACATGCATATGTTTGGTGCCATTTATTTATTGATATCTCTGATTTCAGGCCAATCCATATTTAAAAGATATGGGTATTCGGTTTGCTTCAGTTAATCCTACTGCTGTTGATACAGCATTCCAGAAATTTAACGATGAACAAGTCTTATATCCTGATGATTTTAGAGAAATGCTGAAAACTTTATCCTTGTTGCCGTAAGTTCTTGCTTTGGTTAAAAATGCTACATATCGCTCAATAATTATCTCGACCTTCTTCTTGAGATATGTGATGATAGTGGAAGGGAAGTAACTCATCGTGTAAAATATGTCAGTGGACATGAGTAAAAAAAATCATGTATGGACTCACTCCACTAATTCATTTGCCATCTCTTCCCATGTTAAAACACGAAATTCAACCTTCTACAACTTTTTCCAGAAATCTCGTTGAAAGCTTTCCAATATGTCGAATGAAAGCCTGACCAATTCTCAATGTCTCCTAAGAAATTCAATATATGATGACCATGAAAATTTTGAGCTACTAAAATTGAAAGTAGACTACTACCGGTTATACTCATCCGCTAGAGTTTGGCACTTCACAAAACGACTATTTTTACAATTAGCCTTCCGCCTTTAGATCTCTTATCATCTTACCTAATCTTAAAGATAATGCAATTTCAGACATCAAATTCCAAATCTAGACCAAAAATTACCCAAAAATAGGCATGCAAAAACCCCAAAAGGGAGAGAGAAAGAAGATTTCTAAAAATAGCCCGGAAATGTTTTAGAGGAGTGAGTCCGTATCATAATACAGACTAAAACACACTTTTAGGTAGGCTTTTATTGTTCTCGACTTGCGAAACGAAAGTATATGACTACGTTCAGCATGAACAATAAACCGAATTTGCTGACTTATAGTTCTGATGAAAAGATTGGAATCAGAGTCGTATCGATATGATGACTAAGCATTATTATTATATTTTACAGGGTGGAAAGGTGTGTAGAGGGATTTATGAAAGTTATAGAAGATGATAACAGCAATGGTACAGTTCTAGTTGTATCGTTAAAGCATGGTATATGTCCTATGAAGCTGGATCTGGTCAAGGCATAAAAAGTATTTGTTAGCTTTTATATTGAAATAAATTTTTAACACGTGTGAATTTTGTTACGGAGACTCCACACACTACGGAGGTTTTTGTTTGTTTATTTATAAAACATGGGGATAATGATTCTAGGGCAATGTCACTGATGAAACGTAATAAGAACTCACTAAGGAATTATTTCAATCTAAAGGGAGACAACTTAAACATTAAAACATTTGGAGCATTGTGCTTGGTGAAGGCTAAAAAAATTCGACATCTTAGGCGTCCTTCATAAGCGCTAAACCTTATTACACAGTTGCGTCTATTTAACCCGCTACCGACTAAACTATCCAAGAGCTTATAATTATAAAGCCAGTGTTAAACGGAAGCAGTGAGTAGGCTTTCTACATTTGCTACCATGGCAATAGGATTTATTGGTGTAATCTGTAAAGAAATATAAATATCACATTAATACTGTCATAGAATTAGTGTCTCTGCTGTTTCGAAATTCATTTAAAATGCTTTCATCATCTATAGACAGTCTCACAAAATCATTGTCGTCAGTATTACTAGGTCGAATATCCCTCGAAAAACGTCTTAATTTCACATTTTCAGGCTTAGATTTTCCCTTTGTCTTACACAAATTTCTCTCTTGTCTTTTCTTCGGTAACGACAATTCTAACCTTTTCCAGAATTTGTTTACGTCAGCCTCCTTCTTTTCTCCAGGCCACGTTAGATATGTGATTGACTTCACAATTGATCTCAGAGCGTTGTCCATATAGTTCATCTGGTTTGACACATCTTCTAAGATAATTGGAATTATTCGCTGTTTTCTGTTCAACATTTCATGCTGTGCTCGTTGATATTCAAATCTACAGAATTCACTCTGTATATAATCTGGTGTCAATATTAAAATGGTACGACGACTGTTTTCTACTGCCCATATGATATTATTGGATATGTCTGAAATGATACAAGGAAGTACAGCTATTATAACAAGTAAAGTATTAGAACACTGGGTTAGTAAAGTAGCTTTAACAAGATCATTCAGCATCGAAATTTCATAACATATAATTCATCTTATTGTTGGATTTCAAGTTTCAAACGCGCTATAGATAAATCTATTGGACGAAATTGTTAAAATTGATAAATGATCAACTATAAGATATATCAAAGACTCTTACTTTCACCAGGTATAAAATCACGGAAATGAAGACAAAGTTTAAAATTATTTTCCGTTTCCAGGCGAGGAAATAACTGACGTAATACAAAATCTTCATCTTTTGCAGTTGATTTATACGAGATAAAGGCATCAAACATTTTGTCATCTGTAAATAGAAAACAATCATTGTTAGTGTTAACCACGACAATAAAAACGGAACAAGATTTTAAAATGCAAACGAATGCATAATGATACAGACCTGATGTATATCAACCCAGTCCGTCCTTTCAGTACATGAAGCTAGGTGGCGAACTATTATACACTTTCAAATTTCTTAAAAATCAAAAAATAATTCTGCACTTTAATGTCAAATATATAGACTGTTGGACACACATAAAAACACGGGCGGTGTATACGTAATTTATTACCTATACTAAATTATCTAAATGTCTTAATTCTTAATTGTAATTTTATGATTTGTTCCTTTCATCAAATCTTTAAATAATAAAAAAATAACAAGTGATGCATTCGTGACATACAATGTGTTGATAAACATAAATAACAGAGTAATAAATACCATCATCTTCATAAGGTTGAAACATGTACATAATTTTCATAATGAATATTTCACGTCTTTTCCACATACAGTATGGTATAACAACTACTAATATTAATAATATTACTAAAAGTACTATACAAGAACCTATTAAATACCAATACCATACAGGATCGTTTTGATCTCCTGTAAAGGAAACAAATGAAATCAATGAAGTGAGGTATTACGTTCGATTTTCTGGACAGAAATTAGTTGAAACAAAAACATTGATGATAATATTATAACATTCTAACAATCCAAGAATAGCGTGGCACTCATTTAACCACGAACCAAAATTTGGATCTGTATTGCATCCGCAGTGCGAGCTTCTCATATCACGACTATGATAGCAAAATTTGATACATGTATTTGACTTTTTAACAAAACAACATTAAATCTCCCGGTTAAGAGTTTTCTTTATCAATTTTTTCTTCAAAATACTGCAATGAAATCAAGCAACTACAATTTTGTATACTTTTATTACGCCATTTTTATACAACTATGAAGCAACTTTACCTCTAAATTCATCAGGGTCTGGTCGTAATTTTGTACAATTCAGACCAGTATGTGTCCAATTACAGCTGCAAAAAGCTGAACCATTGCTGTGTAGCTCGCAGATTTCGTTCATATCACAGGTTATAGGGCATTTCTTTTCGCAGAATAGCCCCATGTATCCGAACTCACAAATACAGCTTGGCTTAGTATCTATTTTGTTACAAATACCATTAAGGCATGTAAAGCCAGGCTTACATTGCTTCAAGTTTGATAACTCATTCTCTTGTGATTTTGGAGGTAATGTGTGATTAGTTGAAGATATAGTTGTAGGGATCGTCGTAGTTTCTGTAAGTAGTAATAATTTAACTTGACAGACAATGTTGAAAACGTTACAGGCGCATAGATCATGCAGTCACATTTTTTATCAAGTCATTATATCTACCCAAAATGATAAGGAAATAAATTTGGTAAGTTTGCTAGCTGTCTATTCGATAGAATATCAACTAAAGTATACTATACTGGTTATGGGGATTCTCCACGTAAGAGAACCAGGTAGAGGTGTGGCAGCAAGTGCATAATACATAAATACTTAGTATATATTACCTGGGATGGTGGTCTCAAAAATATCACAATGATCCCCCGTGTACCCTGGTTTACAGTTACAAAATACACCACCATCACTATAACTGTTACAATGCCCATTGTCACCACAGGTCAAATTACATTTCCACTCACAGAAGGGACCCACCCACCCTTCATCACAGATACAGATCAATCTTCCCTCTGGACATTGGCCATGCTGGCAGATGAACCCTGGGAAACATTCTGTTCTCTGAGGACTGTTAGTTGATGCTGCTGGTGATGACAATGATGTCGTTGCTGGTGGAAGGGTTGAGGATGTTGATGTAGTTATCGGATTAGTTGTTGATGGTAATGATACTGTTATTGAGGATTCTGGTACCAATGTTATAGGTGAAGTACTAGTAGATGACCGCAATAAAATTTGTGTAGTACTGGTCGATGGGTATGATCCTAGTGATTGTTGACCCTGATCAGTTGTAGATAATGCGTTTGTGGTTGGCATGTTGAGTGGTTGCATGGTAGTTGACAAGTTTTGAGGTAATGACGTTGACAAAGACGTTATATTGGTAATTTGGGTAGTCGACTCACTGACTACTCGAAAGAAAAAAAAAGGATCAGTGATAATGATAATTGTCATATCATGGCAGCCGACATTTTGTTAACTAAACAGTTTTAAGTAAATTATATGTATACCATATAGATTAATATTATTTTGTTTAAAGAGATCTACCACGAATAAAAATGAAGTGTATAAATCGTGTCCATCTAATATGTATGTGTTATGAAAATACGTCATGCTGACATTAACTTGAGACTCCCTTTGATAAATGATCAATAACTGTCAATTTAAGAACGCTTAAAGCATTTTTAATATCTTAACGTTGCCCATTGATTCTTTTAACTAAAGTGACGAATTACGGAAGAGAATTGCTTACCCGTTGTTGTTGGAAATTTTATTTTGTCACAAAATGAACCCGTATATCTCCAATCACAAACGCATGTTGGTTTCTCGTTATACATCATACATTTTCCATGTTGGCCACAATCAACAGGGCAATGCTTTTCACAGAAGGTTCCTATCCAACCTGGGTCACATATACATTCCAGGAAATCAGATTTAACACAATGGCCATGTCGGCAAACAAATCCTGGTACACAAATCCGCTCGTCTATTGGTCGTAATGTTGTTACTGGTTCCGTGGTTTGGGCTAATATTCCAATGAAACCATGGGATATGACACATAAAATGTACGTGAACATTTCCAGAAATTAACTCTAATAAGAACATTTCTCCATCACTCTGTGGTTTATGGCTTTCAATTTACCAAACAACCATTTTTATATGCCAACTTAACTCATCATATCATTACAATGAATAAATCGCATAACCCGAGTAACACTTTGCATGATTCACACGTATTACACAATAAAACATTAAAGGTGACCACCTCCAGTTATACAAGTTACAAATGTGAAAAAATTCGCTTAATATCACAATTTCACATACAATTGTTACAAACTATTTCAAAAGAATGTACTTAAATTTATGTATTTATCACACAAGATTAAATGATTTCAAAAACATAAATTTCCACTGTGTTATTAGAAAGTATGGTCCAAATGACGATAAAGTAGTATAAAGGTGTGTTTTATAATCCGAAAACCTGATATTCCGAATACAACATTCGTTAGATTTGGATTAGCAAAACCATATAGTTCTTAGTAAGTTGTCTTCTGTTTCTAATAAGAGTGTCATAGTCTATTCGACATAGTCTATCGCGGATGTCGTTCATCGATTGCTAACGCGTCACGATGGAAGAATTAACTTAGAGGATCAAGTCAAGATATTGCCAATAGAAGAATGCTAAGTGGTCGCCTTATGTGAAGAAGCATGTCTCGGCCGTAGCCCAATTTGGCAAAGAGGCGATAGCAGATAATATACGGTATCAAAACTGGTTTATAAGGTCAGAGATTTGGACTAATTCGGAGAAGGTTAAGGCTGACATTGACATATTGAGTACCGTTACATTTGCCCCAGGCCAGACCCATTAAATACTTTATATGTAACTTTATGTAGTTTTATAAACAAGTGTATCTTATAAAGAATAGATTACTATAAGTGACTAATTAATTACTTGATTTTGATAATCAGTAGATAGATGGTGTGATCTTAGACATGATTTTTAAAAATTTTGAGACCCGAGTTGCCAAACGGAGTCATATAGTAAGATATAGCATTAAGCAATGTATCATCTTTATGATCGTATTTGTACGATTTGTAAATATCTGGTTTATGATTGTGTAAAGTAAGTCCACCAGTGAAGTACAACATAATTTTCAACATCATAAACATATACTCGGTGTAAAGAAAACAACAGTCAGGGACTATATTTTGTACTAATGATCACCAAAATAGGTGCTCAAAAAATAAAAAATAAAATATAAGAATTTAAAACCTGCATATTACATTGTCTTTTTGACAAGTCTGTATTATTATTTCCATGAAAAGCTATAAGATAATATGGGAAGTCCGTTAATTTGTAGTGCGAAGAGCGGCGAACATTTTTATTTGTAAAATGACTAATTATCAGGACAAGAATAAATATTTGGTTTGTGTTCTATGATGATATGCATGATAGCCTAAGGTTATATTCTTGTTGATTAACCCTGACCTGTAACGAGTTATTTTTTCAATACTAACATCTTTTACGATAGTGTGTAAAGTATTCCTAACCCTCTCATTAAAACCTAAACAAATCAGTTTATATTTGAAATTTAACCAAGAAGCAGTATATTTTCCCACGCGTCCGTTTTCAATTTTTATACGCCCACATCTCTCTAAGTGGACGTATATTGTCGGCACCTCTGTCCGTCCGTCCGTCGGTCTGTCAGTTCGTCAACATTTGCTTGTAAACGCTCTAAAAACTAAATTTTTTGATGGAATCAAATGAAATTTTGTATGTGTATACATATTCATAAAACGAAGATCAAGTTCGAATGTGGGCTTTTTTCGACCGTTAGAAGCAAAGTTATTGCCCTTGCCCCAAAATCTTGAATATGCTATTACTCTCTTGGATGTAATTGGACCTAAATCGAAAGGTTTGGGAAAGCTTAGTTTACTTCTGATCTGATTTAAGGCTTTTTCAAGATTTAGGCCTCTTACGTCAGTTTTGAGGAGTTATCGCCCTTTAACCTCTATACAGTAAGTGCTTTTATCAACATCAATTGCTCGCAAACACTCTAAAAACTAGAGTGTTTGAAGGAATCAAATGAAATTCGGTATGTGGATACATATTCATGACACGAAGGTCCGTCGGCTCGTCGGTCCGTCCGTTCGTCAATATTTGCTTGTAAACGCTCAAAAATCTAGATTTTTTGGTGGAATCAAACGAAATTCGGTATGTGTATACATATTCATAAAACGAAGATCAAGTTCGAATTTGAGCTATTTTCGACCGTTTTGTATTTTGTACAGTATATTTCTTGTACTATACGTTTATACTTGTATTGTGTTTATTATGTGCAAATAAAAAACAGAACGAAAGTTTGGTTTAATCTTAATTGGACTGATTGGCCCCATTATTTAGATTTCAACACATCACACCATAGAACTGTAAAAGTATGACAGTTCTGTGATCCAACGATCACCGTTATCCATGTTGATAATAAACCCCATCAAGGACAAGTGTAGGATGAAATATTATCTCGACCCTTACAACCTGTACCCATTGGACTAATCAACCACGTAGCACACTAACTGTGTGAAAGCATGGCCGCCTGCGAGAAGTAAACCCCCATCAGACTGCTATAAAGGTGTATACTAATCCAAATATTTCCTTTACGGATCTCCTTGTTTAATTCAACTTGTGGTGCAATAGCTAAATAGCGTCTTCGTTATCATGACAAGTATACATACACAGTAAGGTACCAAATCTTCCTTACAACAGTATCCAGTATCCTGAAAACAGTCGTAATAGACTTCTAATATACCCTTATCACGTCTGTTAAACTCTTTTCAAAATGTAAATTACGCTGTAACCACGATCCATGTATCAGTTTTCCACTGTAATCCATGTTGATAATAAACCCCATCAAGGACAAGTGTAGGATGAGGTGAAATATTATCTCGACCCTAACAACCTGTACCCATTGGGGTCCTTGAGGGTCACTCCTCAACCACATAGCACACAACTGTGTGAAAGAGTGGCCGCTTGTGAGAAGTAAACCCCCGTCAGACCGTTTAGTTTGTTAAAACTGTAAATTTGATGAAGCCACTAGAAAGTGACTTCAAAAACGAAGTAAGCGTTATTTCCGTTGCACGAAATCATAGGGATTGTTCGAAGTAAGCGTCATGACTGCTACACTGTAAAGAGTGGACCTCTCTACAGCTTTCATGGTAACAGTGACTGCTAACGGATGGCTGGTTGTATTTATATCATTAGCGTTGCTAAGCTGACCTAAGCTTTTTCTGTGTAGGCTACTAATACTGTTGACAAATACAGTATTATGCGATTGCACCACGGGTTGAAATACAGTATTTCGGGGTAATTTATATGGGGTAATTCGGAACATATATGCATTATTTTGGACAATATTCTAGTTTCGACATGTCTTAACTCGGCCACAATTGCTCGAGGAAACAATATTATATATTTCATATGCTTTTGAAATTTATCTATAGACTGACTCGTAAAGTCGTTTCACTCTTATTGTCTCAAACAAATGTCATGGTAATTTTGTATTTTATCTTTATGAATATTTGTTTTTGATATAATTATATAAATGCCTTGTATAACACATTACATGTGAATATAAAATACTTTTTGCCAGTTGGAAGTTTTAACTTTATGCTTTTGAAAGTAGGACCGTTGTCCGTAGAGGGAAAACAATCAATTCTGTCTCGCTATGGTCGTAGTGTACATCTACCTGTATATTGGACTTAACTTGTTGGATATAAATAGAAATAGTACGTAACATATTGAAAATGTTGAAATTTTATGTGATTGATATTTTGCTTGCGTTGTACTTTGTTTCATATTTTTACCGAAAATAGTAACATATCATTATCACGTGATGAAAGAAAGTCTTCAAACCTGATTCAGCTATATTGATTTTCGTAGGGGACCTATTAAGGTGAACTACAATATACAATCGCTATAAAAGGTGTATACTAATCCACATAATTTCATTTACAGATCCCCATGTTTGTTTCAACCTGTGGTGCAATAGCTAAATAGTGTCTACGTTATCATGATAAGTATACATACACAGTAAGTAGCTTAGCAACGCTAATGATATAAATACAACCAGCAATCCGTTAACAGTCACTATTACCCTGAAAGCTGTAGAGAGGTCCACTCTTTACAGTGTAGCAGTCATGACGCTTACTTTGAACAATCCCTATGACGTCGTTCAACGGAAATAACGCTTACTTCGTTTTTGAAGTCACTTTCTAGTGGCTACATCAAATTTACAGTTTTAACAAACTAAACGGTCTGACGGGGGTTTACTTCTCACAAGCGGCCACGCTTTCACACAGTAGTGTGCTATGTGGTTGAGGAGTGACCCTCAAGGACCCCAATGGGTACAGGTTGTTAGGGTCGAGATAATATTTCACCTCATCCTACACTTGTCCTTGATGGGGTTTATTATCAACATGGATTACAGTGGACAAACTGATACATGGATCGTGGTTACAGCGTAATTAATATTTTGGAAAGAGTTAAACAGACGTGATGAGGGTATATTAGGAGTCTATTATGACTGTTTTCGGGATACTGGATACTGTTGTAAGGAAGTTTTTATACCTTTTGTTCAACGTGTTAAGTGTTTGTATATTTGTTGGTGTTTACCGTTTTTATGAAATTTCAAAAAATAACACGGACTACATTCGTTAGTCGGAAATATGGTTATCTCCCTTTGACTGAGGTTTAGTTTATAATTACTCCGTTCCGTTTTGTGAACTTATTAATTGAAATTCTAAAACTTGCAGTCAAGAACTATCGTATATGTTGATAAGACAAGATAAGTAAATCAATAGTATTTTTCAGAAATATCGTTGAAAACTTTCCAATACCTAATTTCTGAACAAAAATTCAATATATCATGACCATGAAAATCTTGAGCTAGCACTGCACACAAAACGACTATATTTTAGTATTATCCTTCCACATGAAACTCTCATCATCTCACAAAATCTGAATGAACATGCAATTTCGTACATCAAATTCCAAATGTAGACCAATAATTAGTCAAAAATA